CTCTGCTTGTGACAGGACTCAAGGTAGCTCTGGGTGTTACTGTGATGACTTCTAAGGGACATTCCCAGTCCTTCAAATTTGAGTCCTTGATTTTAATAAGGGCAATGCTTATTTAGGTCTTTGCATTTCTTTTTGCACACTGCGGACTTATCCAGCATGACTACCTACTGCACTCAGAGGCTTTGTTAAAAAGAAAATGAAAATGTACTTACGCTGCTTGGGTATAAAAGTGGCAGAGGAAGCAGCAGAAGTGGAATGAGAACAACAAGCAAGAGATTTCTGGATCGGAGAATCTCCTTCATCATTGCCATACTCATTTACTTTCTGGTGGCTTTCTTCTCCTTGGGATGCTTCTTCAGTTTCTCAAACACTCCAACTTCCACTCCTCGTTTTCTTTCACCTGTGCTCAGATTTCCCTGAAAGGTCTCTCACTGCCTCATTTCCTATACCCACCCAGTGACCTAAAATACCTTTCTTAATTTGTTCACTCTTCAATCTGTTGTTTTGAAAAGAAACCTTAATGTTTTTTCAATTAAAAAGACATTCAGTTTAAGTAGGACTCACCAGCATATCCAAATCATTATCACACTGTAACATACAGAGGTTTGCAAGTTGGAGCATAGTGATCTTTTGACAATTTTTCTTTTTAATTCAGGATCACAGGTGTAGCTGTGTTGCATTCTTATCCCCATGTTTTGGGAGGTCTCTTTCTTCCATCATCTAGCAATGTAATTCCTGTTTTTGCTAACCGGGAGAGATATGTTTCAGGCTGCTTCTCTTCCTCCTGTTTGATAGTCTGAATGTCTCAAATACAGGTTTCTTTTCTGCTGGAAAATTATTAAAACCAAAAATCTCTTGTTCAGTGCACAGACACAAACTTGCAGGTATTCTTTCTTAAAAAATAATAAAAATTAAACCATCTGCAGCTCCTCCAGATTTTGTCTCTCTGCTATAGTTTTGGCTTCTACTTTGTATCTACCTTTACCCTACTTTTGCCCTGAGCTTGGAATTCACAGGGCGGCAATTCCAACACAGATTATACTTGGTCTCAAGATAAAAACTTGTTAAAAAGCTTCATGCAACTCTAATTCACCAATGAGGACTGTGGAAGGTCATAGTTGCTCCACCCATTATCCAAAACCCAGTCAGAACATTTGAGAAAATCAGCAGCCTTCTCTTTCTGACATGCACACAAATGGACAAAAAGACCTTTTTTAGTTGCTGAACAGTCTGTTATTGTTTCAGGGTCCAAGTACTGATGATAAATAAATAATCATTGTTTTCTAGACAGTATCTTTTGTCTTTGGTGTTTCTTCCATCCTGATCCATGAACATCACTTAGAAGGCATGGGCTGATCTCAGTACTGCTTCTTGTGGCCTCAGTAACAGTAGGATTCAGACTCAAATTGAGAATTTTAAGGCTTTCACTCTAGTCTTCTAAGGGAGAAACGTTTCTACAACTCTGCCATTATTAATGCTCTTAGTGGGGCAGAAAATACTGGAGATTTAGGACTGAATCCGCTGGGTGGTTGCATGCATGACCTGTACATAGACATCCATTTGGCCTGTATCTCATAGGAAGCCACACATTTAGGGTTTTCCATGCTCCCAAACCTTTCTTGTCTATCATCTCCCCACACTCTGCTAGTCAGACACAAACTAACCTTCCCAGACTGAACTGGGATGCTTGTGGGACACTGAGTCCTGAAGAACTGGCAAAGGCAGCTGTGCAGAGGAATTTGACGTGCACCATGAACTCTTCCTAAAATTAGTAATTGTATCTAAAGACTGTGCAAAGTTTCTATACCTTGAAACTTCCATCAAAAAATAGCATCTCGAGACCCTTCAGGCAAGCTTAGCAATTAGTTCTGGAAGCAAACATGTAGTTTATGAGAAGATTTGTCCAATACAGCCAGTGAATTTATATCTGTTTTGTCAGTTGTGTCAGAGAAACTAAAAGAATGTCTAAAATGCTAAAAAAAAAATTAAAATGTTTTATTTTAAATGAAAAAAAAATCAATTTTTTTTCCACTTTTTTAATGATCCGTAAGGTCAAATGGTAGATAAAAGGTGCCATTTAGAGGCAATGGCTCTTTACCCCATGAAAGAAGAACTGTCTACAAACATGACTTGGTCTGAAGTAGTGAGATGCAAACTGAGCTAGGGAGAGCTAACAGTCTTTCCTGTCTCCCTCCTTTGGGAGCAGGCAACCTACGCCTGCATCTTAAATGATACTGAAGGAGGGAAGCTGCCCTAAGTCCAAATAGTTGCCCTGATGCAGAGTGCTCCTTCCCACTTGAACTCTGGAAAAAGGAGGCACTCTCATTCCTATTTATTACCTCCTCCTGCCTGTTAGAGGGAAGGGCTGTTCCCCCTTCTGTCCTGTACTGTTGCTCCCATGAAGAGCTTTGCAAAGTGAGATAATGAATTACCCGTGCTGCAAGTTGCTAAATAGTAAATCTGCTGCTGCTGAAATCAATACCCTGCAACTAGTTTTATGTAGAATATTTTTATTATGACATTGACAGTCTCTGTTAAATTAACCCAGGCAGTCCAAGCACATTCCCAAGGAATAAATCTCTTTTCCTACACTACACATAGTAATGGGAGGAGGGAAAGAAACTCAAAAAGACTTGATTTTCTTTTGGGGAAGTAAAGGCTTCAATTATCAATTTGTAAGGTATAGGAAGGTATCTATGCCATAGGGAACGACTGGATATTCAAAACTGTCTGTAATTCTTTTCCGTGGGATCCTTGCTGATGAGTAAATTCTGACTGCTGGACAGTCCTTTTGTGGGGTGAGGAGAGCGGCTGGGAGGTATTTCTCTGGATGGTGACTACAACTAATTAATACTTTCTGTGGGGTTCTTGTTATCTTTGCAAACTTGGAGTCACTGCCTGTAAGGGATTTATGAGTTGCCTTGGTTGCAGGCTCTTCCAGCAAGTGGTGCTTCAGGGAGCCAAGAAGAAGCAGAACTGGAAAGGCAGGAGCGCGCTTCATGGCATTTCCCCCCCATGTGTTTATAATGCATGGTGTGGGAAGAAAACACAAACAGGTCGTCAGTGTTTATGCTGAAGGCTTAAAGGGTACGTGGACTGTTAGTGCAAGGCTGCTTTGTGGACACTAAGCTGTGTGTGCAAGTAGAGGAGATGGAGATACTTGTGGCTCAGAGCTTCGTGGTTGAGTTTTTCACAGTCCGTTGCAGTACACCAGCCAGGCTTTGAAGACAGCCAACAAAGATCTCCAAGCATAAAAGTGCACCTATGCATATGGGCATCTAAATGCAAATGTGCACACTCATGCATACACATACAGAAACTGCTGAGAGAAACAGGACTGACTCTGTCTTTTATAAGCCCTTTCTCCAGCTGCTTATGCCGTTGCCAGCCTGCCCCTAAGGCTGCTGTGGTTCCACATTCCCACGGGTGATTGCAAAACCCAGCTCTGACTGCTTGCATGATTTGCTGTTTGCTGCAACAAGTTGGTGCTGGATGGATTTTTTCAGCTCCAGTCTTTGGAGTATCCCCGTTAAGGGGCACAGAAGAATTCATTCCTTTTGCTCAAGTGATGCAAAAGCAGTTAAAGATGATTCAGAACTGGGGCTGGAATCCTCAGTTCTCTTTTAGAGCCTCGGGGATTTGTGATTTGGGCCTGTCTCCTAAAGATATGCAAACAGAGAGATAGATAGTGCTGGTATAAAGGGATGAAATAAATGTTCAGCTCTTTTCCTATGCTCTGGAAATAGAAGAACCCCTAATATCAATAGAGAAACAGAGTTCATGTAACTTGTTCACAAAAAATAGGGGATTTACTTTAGAAGATTTTGGATTTTTCATTGCTAGTTGTCTGTTTGACAAAATATATCTCCTTTTTCTGTTCATTTTCTGTCTATGATTTTTTGCCAGTTTATAACAATCAGTTGCTCTATTTCCACAAAAAAAAAAGCTAAATTCCGGTAAACTAGTACTGCTTTTGCACTGCTCCCAAATTCATAATTCCCACCACTGGATTGGTGAAGAGCTAAGTGGTCAGATGCAATTGTTTCCTGACTGAACAATTTAGAATTCTTCCATGTACTCAGCACTTATTTGCACACACACACGAGCATACGCACACATATACACAAGTGAATATATAATTTACCATCAAAAATAAGCCACACTGCTAAATTCAGCACCAGGTATGTTTTAATGCACCTTCCTCCTTTGCCTCAGGGGGATCCTGAAGCATGGGTTTAGATGACCTACGTTCAAGTGATAGAACCAGGAAAAATGTGTCATCGCTAAATTAAACAGGCCCTTTGTCTTGCCTTTGACTCCGCTGTGGAAAATCCATGTTTCCTTCAAAAAAACAAGGAGCAGAAGCAAAGTCAAGTGCAAATAATGAAAGAATCATTGCAGACTGTTTGGGAGGGTGGCTTTTGGTAAGCGGGGAATATGTTCACAGGCATTGTTTACTGCTGGTGTTCACAATGCCCTTTGTCTTCTGCAAATGTTATTGCAATTAAAAACTGGCTCAGCCAAATGAAGTGAATCAGACAGTGCTTATTTACAAGAATATTTGGAATGAATGCTATTTGGCATAATTTCTGAAGGCTGACAGTTATGAAACCTCTTCCTTTTACAGAGGGCCTTTGCATCTCTTTATTATTTATGTTCTTTTACTGGCCAGCCAAAATATGAATTTGATTTCCCAGCTAGGAAAGCAGCATTCTGCAGCACATACTCATAGGTATGTGAGCATAAGCATAGTATAGTTATGTATTGCTTACAGGAAACCCACAGGATGAAACAAGGGCATGTCTGTCTGGGGTGTACACCAGACTCCCTTCTTTGCCTGTCACAGAATATGCCTCCAAGCCAGCACAAAAATCAGATTCCCAGGACTGAAGATAATACTTTTCCCCATTTAACACGGAACTATAAAGTGGATTCCACAAGAGGGAGCTAGAAAACAAATAATCTTTCGTGAAGCGGGCTATTAAACTCTTTACAGAATAAAGTGGAGGACGTGCTACATGTGTCCCTTATCAACCAGAAAAGGTGGCTGAATTGCTGTTGCATCAAATCTCCTACTATGACGGCTCTTTGTTGTATGGGAACATCAAATCGTGCTTCAGGGCTTTGTAAAGACTGACAAAGGATTCAGCCCAAGTGTCTTTTTGGTGCCCCTGGGACTGAGCAGCCCTGTAGGCCGTGTAGACCATGGTCAGCACTGTCCTTTCAAAGTCTTCTTTCTTGAGGACCCTTGGGTAGGAAGACAGCCTGCTACTCAGCCTGCGGATCTCTGTGATGCTCTTGGGGATAATCTCATTGCAGATGGTGCCAAACTCAGCAGCCTTCCTCAGTGAAGCGAGCTCCTCATCTTTGATGGAGATCCTCTGATGTTTGTCAATGTCAAGCTCAGCTAAAAGAAACTGGCACAAAATCAGAACACAGAAAGCTATTTATCTTCTCCAAGAGACTCTAGGCAGAGTAAATGTGAATTAACAACATGTTCTTAGGTCTTTACTTTAGGCCAAATGGAGACAAAACTCTCATTGCACTGGCTAGAGGTGGGGCAGACCAGAAAGTATGTGAATGCTGCACTCCTGTGTTACCTACCTGGGAAAATGAGAGACAGGCTATGGGGAAAGGAGAGAGGCAAAGCAAAAAGCGGGTAGTCTTCTGTTGTCCAAAACAAGTATGGGTTGCTGCAGGTGCTGTGTGGGGATTAGAGAGGTGGAGACAACAGCACAGCCGGGAAAGGCCGTTTACCCTGCCAGGGATAGCAGTGGTGGCCTAGCTCTGTACAAGAGAGCCCTGCAGTGGCTTCCCAGCCCATCTACCCTGTTTGGACATCCAGTCCCAGTTTCTCAAGCTGTGGGATAGATTTGACCCGTGCGCCTCCTTCATGTGGGCCATTTTCCTTTAGCTAACCATTTCGCTCTGTTCCAGACTGTGCATTACATCTGCAGTCTCCGCTGCTGTGAAAGAGGGGACCTGAATCATTTTGAATTGAAACAGTCATGCACTTGGGATTACTTTTCAATGACTGATACTCATGGCTTTGATGATTTGAACAAATAATTTGGGACTGAGACTTAGACTGAAGAATTTAAATGCATTGTGTTGTTAATATGTAACTGTTCTGGAAGAAAGTTGCTTTCAGTGGAATGCCACTGGTTTTTACTTTGCCTGTCAATGAGCTAGAACCCACATTTGAGGTACTGCAAGCAACTGCTGCCTGCTTAAGTGCTGAAAGAGCTGAGTTTGTCATATATATGCCCGTTCCCTCCCTTCTGGTGAGCTATTACATAGTCAGCAATGGATTTAATGCTGGGATAAGTAAAAGACAGATAATGGATAGCCCCAGTATGGATAGTAACCCCAGTCTTGCTTAGTGCTTAAGGTACCGTCTGCTCCCATATACTGAACCTCATAAAGCAGGACCACATCTTCCAGCGAGTTTTGTAGCACTGGGTTAAGGAAGGCAGCTGAGGACCTCTTGAATCGCTGAGCAGCTGGGAAAAGCATAGCTGGAAAATAATAATGGGAAAAGAGAGGTTCCATAGGGTGGCAAACACTGAAAAGAGAAAGCACTTTTCAACACTAGATTGTTGCAAATTTTTACTGTACAGTATGACTTCTCACTGTAATTAAAATGACTGCTTTGACCATAATCTATTAGGGATAGAAGTTAGCTGTTTGTCCTGTATCTATACAATGTCTAACACAGAGTGGTTTATAATCCAAGCCTGGGACTTATGTACCAATAGATAAATTTGGAAACCAGGGAAAAAAGGAAAAAAAAAACACCACCTGGTATAGACTCTGTAACCTAAATTCAGTCCTGTTTCCTGGGCCATTGCCAACTGTTGACTTTGTTAAAGTTTCACTTGTTAATGATATTTAAGTTCATGTAATGCAAGGAGAAAGAAACCAGGCCCTCAGAGATTGTGTTAATTAGGACCTTTACTATCTAGCATAAGGAAAATTAATTGGGATAATACCAGGTATGAAGTAATTCATGCTTAACCTAGCAAAGGGTATTTTATTAGCTAGGAAATTAGTTGGGGAATAAAGTATAGGTAAAATAGTTTGTTGAATTGCAATAAACATCCTGCACGTGGATACTACAAACAGTAAATACATACTGCAGGGATGAGTTTCAAGCATTTTGGTAAGCCAGCTACAGAGCTAGGTGCTTCCTATTGGATCTGTGTAAGTTTAGATTAAAACTTGTTTAAATAACCAAATAGTACTTGCAAGGTATGTGACTAAAAACCTGAAGGAATGAATGCACCAAGTAAAAGAACAGAGGTGTTGAAAAGGACTTGGTCTCTGCAGTAACCTTTTCCCAGCATGATGCCTTTACCACCCGAGTATCTTTTCTGGCCCAGCCAAAGAGGTGGTGAGTTTGGTCACAAACTGCCTGCAGGTTCTGCTCTGCAAGAGTGTTTGCCTGGATGACCACAGGTAACTGGAGCTATACCGATTTTCTGCTGCTGCTCCGTCACTGATGTTCACCCCTCTTGCTCAGAGCTTTGCTGAGACACACTGGAGCTATTCCATCTTCTCCTCTTGGCAATGCAAGAATGCAATGGAGTGCATGTGAAGCACTTGAAACTTCAAGCGCTAATTGCTGAGTAATTAAAACTTTTATTACTGGGAAATTAAAACTCTAATTACTAAGCAGCTGGCAGAAATCCAGTCCATAATGATGACAATTCATTTTTATCTTTTTTAGATGCCCTTTCAGTAGAAACAACCTCATAGTGCAGAGTACCTCTACATACGCAGATGGTTTGCATCTGAAATATTCCCTGAGCCATGGAAAAGGTGTCTATGGCATCTTGCTTTGGTGCTGTCATGCTTATTGTCATTACACTGATTGCTTTTATCTTTGGGGCCAAGTGCAGATTCCAACCAAGGAGCTGAGTTAGGAGTCATCAGATTCAGCTCATCACCACTCACCCAGAAAAGCCGCAGTGAAGGGCTTGCACAAAAATGAATGCCGTATTATCGATTTAGTACTGAGCCACTTGTTGAATCACAGGTAACATCTCAGAAAGGAGGTGGGGTTTTCTACCCAGCTCTTCACAGGATGACAGGGATTAGATTAAGAGATTCAAAGGGACAAGAGTCTGAGCTGCTATATTGTGAGAAAAGACTTTGTATGCGTATCAGAAGTGTGCCATGCTCTGTAGGGACCAGGCTAGCACCGATTCCCTGATCTCATTACCTTGTTCCCAAAACGTATCAAACTTTGTTACAGTTCTTAGAGACTCAACTCAGAAACTATTTCAGAGCTCATTTGTATTTGTCATGGTGATCTGATTTTCCTGATCCACATTTTATTTCAGTCCTTCCCTATCTCTCTCTTCCTGCACAGTAGTCAAATTCTTCCACCATCACTCCCTCCACCATCTTCTCTATGAATTCATGAGCTCCTCTGAGACTACATGAGCATTTGAAGCAAGCACTCTCTGATTTTCATTACACTGACTTAACACACATGTAAGTTAAGCACAAAAGCTGAGATAGAGATTTACATCCAGTTTCTGCATTTAGTGATTGCAAATTCCACTTGAAAATTTTCTGCTGACTTTACTTTTTCCTGCATTTACTTACATCTTTGACACGTGTTAGCTGGACAGTATCAAAGAACAGCAGAGGAGTATTACTGTGACTTACCATCTCATTACTATTTTCTTCCCCAAGGGAGTTCTCTGTAAAGCTAACAAACAATGATTTCATGGGAAGATGCAGAGCAATGTGCATCATTTTATGGTAATATTGCAGCCAATTCATTTCAATGGCAGTGGCCGTGAATGAGGAGCAAAGATCCCTAATCAGTATTGACAGAGAAAGCCCAATCCAGTGATCTCTGAAGTCGGTGGAGAGACTCCTATTCATTTATTGGTTTTACTTCTCTTACAAATGTGTCAAGACATCTCCAATGGAGATGTGGATGCTTCTGTCCTAAGGCCCGAACAGTCACATAACAAAAAGCTTAGAGGTGAAGTATGAAAAATAAGGTTTTGATTATCCTTACTGAAAACGTTTTCTGTTATATATCTGTGTACTACCAGACTCACCATCTTCCAAATCCCTTCTTCAGAGGGGCTTTAGGAGCGCTCCCTGATCTGACCTCCCTCGCTGCCCACTGAAGCCTCAGGGCTGGAGGTGGATGGGAGAAGTGCGCCTGAGCTGAGCCACCTGCTCCCAGCCCACCTACCTGACCCTGAACAGCCTTATTCTGTGCCCTGGAGTGCACTACTGCTTGTGCCTGAAGATGGTGGGCAGCCAACAAGTCTAGTCCTAAGGGTGGCTAAAAGCGCCCATCAAAACGTAGTGCAGGAGTCCCTGTTCTCTGCACCGCTCACTGCAGGAGTCTGTCCAGTCTCCTATGGCTCTGTTGACTCAACTCTGATTCTCCTTAAGGACTACTCTGAGTTTTAAACAAAAGATGCAGCAGTGTTTGCCAACTGGTTGGCCTGCTTCTAACTATTTAGCTCATTACAGCTTAGAAATTTCTTTACAGTTTAAATGTACCATCCCATCTGAGGCTCACAACAGATTAATTTTAAAGATGCTTTCATCTTTCTTAAGAATTGTGCCAGAATTTTCTGGAGGACCTCACTAGCCACGTGATAAACATTTGTGATCCTTTCGCAGGTTTTCCATGCAGTTTCACTGGTGAGGATACAGATGTTTGGTTTTGCTTTCCAGTTCACACTCCTGCTCATGATTTCCCAATTGCTGCCTGTGATGTGTTTGCTCAATAAGTACAGAGCATAGCTGCAGGAGTGCTCAATTATTTGTGCATCATCAATGCCCTTTTCTTCTCCTATGAAGATATGAAGCCAAAAGCATGAATCAGGCCCATCACTCCAAAGCACGTACAGCTTCCTGGGGCTCCAGGACATGAACACAGTTTAACTGGGGTCATAACTCAGTAGGAATTATTTTGATTGACTCCAGGGGCATGAAAAAGACCTATCTCATTGCTTCAGTGGGACCCCTTTCACGAAGGACAGGAGGAGCAGAGGAACAAGAAGGACTTGTGGGCCAAAACTCCTGACTCCCTGCTGGCAAAGCAAAGCGCCTGTCAGCATAGGGAAAAAGCAGTGGCCCAGCAGGAGTTGTCCTGTAAGCCAAATTCAGTCAGCAGGCTGCCAGTTACGTCCTCCTGTCTTAGATTACTAGGGCCTGACTCTAAAGAAACTCAGGAAAATAATTTCTTTGGGCATCGCTGGCTTCCTGGGACCAGGCCCCTATTTCTGGGAGTGTAAGGCAGGGAACGGTTGCACAGGCAGCAGCAGTTCCTGTTCAGTGATGGACATAAAAAGGAAAAGCGATCTCTGAAACTCCTTTTTTTTTGTGTTCACCAGCAGTTGTAACAGGGATTAATAGGGCTCTGCAAAACCATACCCTCTCAAACCACTGCAACTGTCTTTTTACTGCAAGCTCACAGACACCAACTCTCTCCCCTTAGTAGTGAGAAACTGCTACAAGATCAGCAGTACATCCAGCTTGATCCTTCACAGCAAAAGTTGCCCTTTCCTGCTCAAAGCTTTTGAAGTCAGGACTCCTAGAACTCAAAAGAAAGAAGTTAATGCATCCCAAATTATGATGACAGCAATTTCTCCCTATTTGGCTTTATCTTATTGGTAAAGCAGGGAATAAAAATATTGTTCAGTTGTTCAGTGCTGTGGGTGCATTTGTGCATGGAAACAAATATGCATACTGCCCCCGAAATGAAAGGAAAGGAACATGTGAAGCTTTATAGGTTATTGTTCATGAAGGCATGGTAAATTATGTAAAGCATTTTTTTATAAATTCATTGGCTAGTGTTGTTTTTTTTCTGTCCTGTAACAAGCCCAGAGAAACAGAGCATTTGAATTGTACTCGAGTGGTGTGAGTTTTTCCCTAGCCTAAACATCACAGGGCTAGAAAAGCAAATTAAAAAAATCCGTGGGCATGTTCAGCCTTTTTTTTTTATGTCAGTTTCTCCAACAGTCAAGAAGGCCATCTCCTGGGCCAAGCGCATAACCCTTTTAAGCTTGCTGGAAATTTTCCATGTGTCATGACATTTTTCTCCAGCCTGCCTGGAATTTGCACTAAATGGATCTCAGCATACCCAGAGGCTCCTGTCAAGAGAAGACCTTTGTTGATAACCTGGTAACATATTTTTCTCACTATCACTGACTTCTTTGAAAGATGAAGATGATTCTTCAAGATGAATTCAAGCAAATGAATTTGACGAATTTGCCAAACAAATGAACTCAGCACTGTCCACAAGGTGATTCTATAGGCAGACGCAGCAGCCGTTATAATGCCATGCAAAAATTAGGAGTGATTTAGGCTGGCTGAACCTATTTCGTTGCAGAGACTGCTGCTCCTATAAGTCATTGTTGCTTTGGATCCTAGGGCAAATACCTGAAATGCTCACAACAGGATTTACTTTAATAGTGTATGGGAAGCATCGTTTTGAACTCAGACTCTACATGTCGCCTTGACCATGCACTGCAGA